AAATTAAAAAAAAATTCTATTGGAAAATTTTTATGGTTTTGAAAGTATGAGACTTGGCCGATGGTATTCTTCATTCACCGTTCATGGGAGTAAAGCAACACTGCACATAGCAACACCTTGTGTTACTTAATTGCAGGATCACAATACATCCTGGTACAATCAACAATGAGGAACAGAAATGGTTCTGATCAGCAAAGTGGAATTTTCATCCTCCACCAGAGAGTGGGCTAGGAACCACTTTCCTTCCCCTCTGTCACATGCTTCAGGCAGTGGTACCATCTGACCAGTGACCCCAGAAACAAACCTATCTATCATCCCCAGATAAGTTCTGCTGCCACTGAGCTCTGGGGTGTCCCAAAGGCACTGTGACAGGGGAGAATTGGGAGCAGGCAGCAACAACTGGGGCAAGTCCCCCTGAAGGAGTTGGTGGCTGTCATTAGAGCTCCTTGAGGAAGCATCCCACAGAAATACAAAACGCCTTCTGATGTCTGGGCACTCCACCACCCACACTTCCCAGAGTAAAGGCCAGGTCATGTAATCAGGAAGCAAGGGTGTCACAGGAAGTGCAACATAAGTAGGGGCCCACAGCACCACTGAGAGTTTAAATCTTAGTTTTACCACATGCTTTCCAAGGGAAAATTCTGTAAATATTTTACAATTAAAAAAAAAAAAAATCACCCTGGTCAACTAACTGAAATAAGTTAGGAAATACATGTAATTTAGACAAATAAAATCTAGTTCCATTAAAATTATTCTTTCCAATTTTCAGAAAACAATACATAAATAATTCAGGCAGAATTTTGCTACACCCCAAATCTCCTTTACCCTTTTTTTCTCCTGTAGATATTGATCCCATGCAAATTCTTGAAGAGGAACTATTACACAATCTTCAAATTTTGATGGATAAGTATTCTTCAGACTCTAGATTTCAAAATAGAAAAAGTAGAGTAAGTTCTCTTTTAAAGTCTACATCACTTTCCCAATTTTTATGGGGTCTGCAGAGAGCTTTACGCGACACATACACAGGCCACATAGTCTAAGAAGCCACCTGCCTGCTCCCAGAGAGATCTCTAGGTCATGCTGGTGTTGCCCTCGGCTCTAGCCTTGTCTCCAGACTCCTGAGAACAAGGACTGCCTTAGCTTTCCCTCAGTCCCACCTGCCACTACATCTGCTACACAGTGGACACTCACACACAGGAACCTAAACCAGTTATTGTCAATAGCTTTGTGATCTGTTTTTCTTTTAGGACTTGCTTTTCGCTAAATTAAATTCTTGCTAAACTTCAGTGGGTCTACATACGTTGTTTGTAGTAAGAATAAGCAAATGCTACTGCTTTAATTCAGTGACTTAAGGAGAATGACCCAAAGGATATTATATATACTTTTTTTTTTTTCTTTTGGTACCAGGCATTGAACTCAGAACCCTGTGCTTGCCAGGCAGGCACTTACTCTACTGAGCTATCTCCCTGGTCCTGTAGTTATTTCTTAGGAAGAAGAAAATATTAAATAAGCTAGGTTTAGAGCTAAGGTTTGGTATTGAGTTGTTTAGTGAATGTACATTGTCTCATCTGAATCAGACAAAATTCTAGTTAGCAATCCCTATCCAGAAAATAAAGCTTGCTTCAGGATGTTAGTTTCATTTTGCCTCCCTTGAAAAAGGAAGAGAAGGCAGCTGAAGAAGCAATAGCAATTAGGCCTGTTTTCTGAGTGGATACAAGAATCGAATGGGCCGACAGACAGCGCAAGGCCACCTGCTGCCCCTGGCGCCGACTCCTCTAAGAGGGGGGTTGGGAGGCTTTGTGACCGTCTGACACACAGCAGCCCCACACAAGTACCAGAGGTGAGTGTCCTGAGGGCAGGTGGGCAAGGACGGGACTGGGTCTGGCTTTCAGATTGGGCAGCAGAATAGCACAAGAGCCATGGGCCCATTTTCTTCTTAGACTACTACACCCCACAAGCATGGTGTGCTCAGGTTGATGCGGCTCAGCATGATGGCTGCTATTGCTGAGGAGCTCTTCAGAAAAACTAATATGCCTAGCCATTTTCAAACTAAGCACCACATATTTTCTCATAACTTAGTATTTGTTCCAGAACGAACTAAAGTACATCTAAGTTAAAATCCATGTAATACATACTCACACTTACTGTGTACCAATCTAAACCTCTGTCAGCGAATCAGGCATCTAGGATTGCTCATAAATAATCATGTTGGAGAGAGCAAATTGGTCAAGCAATGGCCGTGACTCATCCTCATGGCTGACACTGACAAAGGATCTACAAAGTGCGGTACAGGGCTACAGGATAAATTCTGAGAGTACTAGACTGACCTTACCAGATAGAAAAGTTACATTTCTTGTAATATAGGTCTTGCTTTATCTTGGTCTTAACCATCCAGCAGAAAAGTGTAAAAATGAGGTATATAAAGTAAAGCCATATTAATACGATGAGCTGTAAAAGGCTCAAGTCAATAACTTCTGAGGATAACCCACTAATATTATAGACTGCTAGCTGCTTTCGCTTAATTCAGTGAGAAGAAAGAGGTGTACTAATAGTGTTTGGACAGAAAATCCTGTCTGTTTCTTGTACTATGGATAACGACTATGAAGACAGCAATGTACAATGTATTGATTATCAAAACTGTCCTATTAATCAGCTTTGAAACTGTCTCATTCATATTTATTTCTCAATTTAAAAAAATAAATAAAA